TTCAAAACTGACAGTACAACCACCAAACTCAAACGACGCGGAACTTGACAGTTTTCAATACTTCACCTATGTGCTCACCGGATTATGGGTACCTACCTTTGTTGCTAGAGAAGCAAAAAAGATTATAAAATACATTGTACAGGTCGCTACCTCGCGTCGTGCGCACTAGAGGGAAGCATTCAAAAGAAGCGAAGTCGCGTCTTCAGCATCGAAAGTGTAAACTTAATTTAATTTTATTTATTTTTATTGACCTTTATTTAATTTTATTTAATTTAATTTAGTTTTGTTTAATTTAATGTTTTTTTTATTTAATTTTATTAAATTTTATTAAATTTTATTTATTTTTATTCAATTTTATTTCATTTTGTTAAGTTTATTTAATTTTATTTAATTTGATTTATTTTTATTTAATTTCATTTAATTTTATTTAATTTTATTTTGGTAAAGCGTTGACGTTTACTAAAATAATTTTTTTTCTATAGTAAGGACATGTTTATCTTACCGTTGACCTAATAATAAATATATATTATAGGTTATTGATCGTAGCTAACGATTACAGTAGCCTATATTTTTAGCAATTTTGCTAAAGTAATTACTCTGAAGCAGTAAAATTTCTGAATACCAACATTTGAATCATCGATCTGTGCAATACATTAGCAATAAGTCAATCGTATCCTTTCATGAACAAAATATGACTGAAATGTCACATGTTGGTAGTTCAGATTTCTTTCCTAGGTGGCGTCGTTGCCTTACTGGACAAACAGTGTGACTTGCCATCATAGCCTTTTATATAGATCGATTTATTTAATAATTGAAGATCAATATTTGTTATTGTTTTTTTGTTGCACATAATAAAAAAACATTTTATCAATTTAGATTAGGTAATGGTATTAATTATTTAAACTAAGAATTCGCAGCAAATTCGCAGTAAACGAGTAGCTTTCGCAATTCACTTAATTTCAGAATTCAAATTGAAAATTTCACCAGAAAAAACGTTTTACCGAAAGTTCAAAGTATAAAACTAAATGTAGTTTTTTCATCTTCTTCTACAATCTAATGTTCAGGGTATTGTTTTGGGTCGGAAAATTTTTCCAACATTTCTTAATCCGAACCTAAAATTCTTATAATTATAAATAAATTAGTCGAATATACATCTTAATAATACTCAAATAGAAAATAAGAAGTTGGCAAAATAAAAATAAAACATCCAGTATCTTTGTTATTGATTAATAATTATGGGATTTTTGGATAGACTAGGGTCTTCTTTCTACATTTAACGTAAGTTACTTTCCCAAAGAAATACCCTCTATTTTAAAGAATATATGAATGACTACCAAAGAAAATACTAACATTACATTCCATTAGGACATCAAACTTATACGGAGTCACAAAAATTCACAAATGTATACCTCAGACCAATTTGCAGCAGCATGGGTTCTCCTTGCAGCAGGCTGTTAAAGATCATCATAGACATAATACTGCCTTTAACAGAACAATTTTTGCAAAAACTAACAGAAGTCGATTACATTTTCAACAATATGCTTGTCAGTTTTGATAATACCAGCCTTTTCGCCTACGTGCCTTTATTGGAGAAGAAAACTTTAAAAATATTAAAAGTCAAATTAGAGAGGGATGTTACATTCACAACAAAAACCAAACTTTTTTCCCTGAGGGTGAAAATTTTTAAAAACCGTACCAGGTTTGGATAACTGGCGTGTAAATTTAGAGTAGAGGAGTACATCCGAGCTTATTTCCCTTAGAAGAAGGAGGTCCTGCAAACACATGATTTTCTGTTATCCTTCCTATCCGATTGCCGCTATAAGGCTAAGGAAACTTTCGGGGCATTCCCTTCTAATCTACATCTTATCTCTGTCGTTGCACTGGCTGGTGTTACTCTTATTCTTCTTTCTTTTTAATTACTGTTAGCATGTTGGCTAATTATGTACAATATTCCATCCCCTCTTACTTTCCATCATCTTCACGATCATCTCTCAAGTAACAAGGTTTATACCTATTTCTTTATACATTATGTTTCTATTCACTGTTCATCTATTATACTCCAGCATTGTGTGAGTAATAGAGTATTTACAATACAGACATTTATCTGTATTTGTCTTTTTGAATCTATAAAGAAATGTACTAAAATACTCATGTCCTGTGAGCTCTTGCCTCAGGAAGTAATCCAGTCGCCTGTAACCACAGTCCACTTAGTATTTTAGGCTTGAGATTCATATTTTGGTCCACTAAGCAATATTTTCTGTGTTGTCCTACTCTTCTTGTCATATTTCTATTGATTTTTCTCTGTCCTCTTTTTCATGGCTGCTGTCAAATTTTTTCTTTTGTGATTTAGATGTCTCCTTTCCACTGCTAAAATATGCAAAAGAACACAACCTGCGATAGTTTACAAGGCAGTCCTGTAGTCGCATTTTACTCGGAACAGAATTGTTCTGTGTATTCTTATCATAAGTTCTTTGTAGGTCGGTATCCCTATCGCCTTACTCCAGATCCCCACTCCTTCGCTTTTGCGTTAAAATCTCCTAGCACCACGCAGTCTTTTTCCATATTTATTACTGTCTTTATGATCTTAACCGTATTTCTCTCATATTTACCCACCGTTATATTAGAAGAGAGATAGCAGCATATCAGCTGCAATTTTCATCATCTGGACGATCATATACCCTTCCTTTGCTTTTATTTCATATTCTTATCAGCTTCGTATATCTGTGTTCTTTTCCGTGGAAACAGTGGAAGATGATGGAACAATCTAGCCGTTCCTACATTTGTTTAGAGTATCCTCAATTCCCTCAATTACGTCTACTGATTTCTTGATAACTTCGACCGTGGTATCGGATGGGATTTCCTACACTCTCTTTTTGACAGTGCCTGCTTTTGCAATTACTTAGTCCCTTTTCTGTGTTATTCTTTTGATGTCTACAATAGTCTACATCTTTTCCTTCTGCCAGATTTTCTTTAATTTTCTTCATTAGGTCTACGAACAAATTTTTCCTTAGTTTTAATTATTACGACAACGTCCTTTTGTACTGTTGGTTTGATGAGGGCCCATCCTCCCCATATTCTTTTTTCTATTAGCGTGATGGTCACATCCTTTCCTCTTGAAGCCAATTCTAGTATTATTCTTATCGTAATGATCCCCAGAGATACTATGTATGGATCTCGACTTTGTTTCTTCGCAGTTCTTTCATCTTCTGTACTAGTCTTCTTCTTAAGGAACTTTATGATCTCTTGTTCATCTTTTTTATTTAGGAGAACCTTAAATCTGCATCTCTCTTTATTTATTTATTCCCATTGTTATGATCGGAGATTGTCACTCTCATAGTCCCTAAACCACCTTCTTCATCCGTTTCAGCTGGAGCAGTTAGAAAATCATAGAATGCAGTCCTTACTTTTTCCGTGGCCTTATTATCCTCTTCTTTTTTGCAACGAAGACTGCCACGTCTTCTGTTGTTTCAGAAAGATCTCCATCCCTGACAACGATGCTCATGAAGATATCCTCCGGCCAATCCTCGTTGAGCACTTCTATATCATCCCCGCTTTCCATTTTTCCTTAATTATTTAATTTCTATTTTTGATCCATCTTGGTTCTACGGGTCTTCTTGAACTGGAAAAATTCAAAAAAAGAACTTAAAAACATAATTGAATATGTCAGTTATCATGGAGCTATTAACACTTTGTACACAATACTTATTTTCAATTGGATAATAATTTTTACTAACAAATTTTGGAATTGTATCTTTGCTCTTTAAGGGCAATAATTAATCACATATCATTATATCACAGTATCATAGTTATTAATATTAAGGTTCTTATTTACATATAGTAAGAAAAAGGCAAAAGACGTTCTAACATTTTATTAAAAAAAAATAAAGAAAAATATTTTATTTTATAACAAACATATATATATATATATATATATATATATATATATATATATATATATATATATATATTTATATAATTTAGTTAAATCGTGTTAACAAAAAACAAACAAAATATTTAATTTTAATTTAAAATAAATTAAATAAATAATGTTTTTTTCTTTGCAAACTAATTATAGTAAGTATTATTAAATCAGACACAATATTAAAAGCACTTATTAATTTTTTATGGGCAAAACAACTATAAAAAGCAAAGCAACAGTCAAACTGTTAGTGGTTTTCCTCACTTCGATTAAATCATTAACACATGTAATCAATGTTAAAAACTAAGAGCAAGACACTGCACACTCTGACCATACTATTGACCATACTAAGATTTTCCACGAAATATCTATGACCTAATTAGAAAAAAAAAACTATCAAGAAGACCTCGACAGTGTGGTTACGCAATGCTTTTGGGTCACGACAAGCTCATTTTGCACTTAACATACCGACTCAGAAGTTCAGGGGTCAACACAAGGGCACCTACATATATATTTATCTCATATAATAAGAAATATTTTAATACGAGAATAATCTAAGCTAATTGGACCACTGCAAAACGGAGTTGTTAATCAAAATATACCAGAAATAAAATATTTATTTATATTTAAGAAAAAAGGCAAAGGTAAACTTTGGAATTTTTAGAATTCAAATATACAGCAATAAGTAGGTCTTAAAATTTTTTATAACGTCGCATATAGCGGGAGGTAAAAACACAATCTGGATCTCCCATATATTATATTGGTAAACTCAGTATATACCCAAAAATTATCAAAAATATAGAAAACAACAAATAAAACCCGAAAAGACACCACTTATTTACAAAGAAAAATTAGGAATAAGACTGGATAAACAAAAGGGTCATAATCTATTCAGTGTAGAGCATCCAAAACTTTAGAAGACACATTATGTTTCCTTTACCATACATTAAGGTAAAAATATAACACCAGACAATTTTTATTATTAATAAGTACAATGAGTAAAGTCCAGAATATCGCTGATGATTGACCTACTAAGATTTAACCTTGATAATTAAAAAAACAACGTTAAATATTTCCAATGTTAGTTGGATTTAGGAAGATGCTCTCCAGAAGCGCGGTATCCATTCTCATCGGCTACATAAGTAACTTTGTAAGTAACTCCATCGGTTCCTACATAGGTATAAGAACCATGCACCACTAAAGACTCTTTTTCATTACCAGCGTTTTTTATCTCTGCTTCTTCCTGTCTTTGTGATCCATCACTGGTTTCGTACCTGTAAAATAAAAAATATCAGCTGATTTATTATTATTTATGGCATATCGTCGAATAAAACACATAATAAAACCGTTAAACTAATAGATTTGATGGAAATGAGCCACACTTTTAATCAAAAATACGATAAATTTTATATTTCGGGAAAAATTTTCGCGATGTGTCAGTACTATAAAAATATCATAGAGAAATTTAAAGAGAGCTTCTATCTATTTTTTATTGGAAAACTATCTGTGTAGGTTTTGTTTACCTTAAAAGAACTTATTGCGTGATGTTGGAATTTAACATTTTTCTAAAAGACAATATTTACAATAATATGAACTCTACTTTACTGAATAATAAATGGCCACGATATGTCTCTATTATTGGAATAGATGGTTACTTAACAACAGACATTGAGAGGAAACAGTTGATTTGGTATGGTCATGTTCAAAGAATGGAAGACACAAGACTACCCAAGAAGATTATGCAGTGGGTACCACCAAACCGCAAAAAACGAGGAAGACCCAAAAAGACATGGAAAGAAGGGGTAACTAAAGCAATGAGTACAAGAGATCTTAGAGACGGCCAATGGGATGATAGAATAGAAGGACGTGGAAGTTACGCATCGGACAACGTCAAAAACGTTCTAAAACCGATATATATATATATATATATATATATATATATATATATATATATATATATATATAGATATTTCTCTTAAAATATTTTCCATACTTACTACCATTCTTTTAAGACCTGAAGAAAAAAAAGTGATTAAAAAGAAAACATTAACAGACAACCTACCTACTGACTATCGCAGATAATTGGTTTTAGAACAACTGTCAGCAGGATTCTCCGAATTTTCTCTCATACTAGGAAAGGAGTTTTCATTCCCAATAGGAGTTGCAAAGGACTTAATGAAGAATCGATATAATCTAAATACTAGTAGTCATACATTTATGCATATAACATCAGTTTGACAAAACACTCTTTACATCTGAGGCTATAAGAGTAAGAGTGGGCTTACCAACATTTTGTTGATAATTGAGTTATATATTGCAATCCCTTCTAACTACCTAAAGTTTTAAACCAAACCAGTCTAACCAACATTTCCGTATATTATAAAATAAATCTCTCCAGTAAGGCGATTTTGCATTATAGAAAATAATAATAATTTGAAAACACGAATGGGATAACACACAAAGTTGAAGCATAGACCAAAATTGTTCAATACATACATACGTAAAAGAATACAAGTCTGGGCTAACCGTCTTCTTCGTAGGATAAACCGGTTTTAGCTGCTAATCAAGGGTACGTATCACGCAATCTAACTTACAGTGAATAGATTCATTATATTCATCTTACATATGACATTCTTACCTTGCCTGTGACCAAGATTTCGGAGTAATAAGTAAGCAAACGACGAAAAGGCTTTACCTAGACGAAAAGGGCATAAACATAAATGGAGAGCAGCTTAGTCACCTCAGGTTCGCGGACGATATAGTCCTGATAACAGACCGCATAGATCATGCCATCGAAATGTGCGAAAGACACTACCATGCCTCTACACAAGTGGGTTTAAAGATCAATAACTCAAAAACACAAGTGATGACAAACCTGTCTGAGTGAGAACATCAACATAGCTGGAACAAGTATAGAACAAACATCAGCATACATATCTGGGACACGAAATTCGCTTTAAGTAGAGATAACCAGACCAATGAACTAATACGTAGAATAGGATTGACATGGGCAGCTTATGGAAAGCTAAGAGATGTTTTCCAATCAGCTCTTCCCATCTGCTTGAAGAGAAAAGTCTTCGATCAATATGTGCTGCCGGTTCTAACCTATGGTGCGGAGACGCTAACACTTACTAAGACGTCCGCAAACAAAATTCGAACAACACAGAGGGCAATGGAACGGTCCATGTTGGGATTTAACCCTGAGAGACCGAATACCCAACACAGAATTGCGCCGTAGATCAGGAGTAACCGACGCAATCAAAAGAATATCAACCTTAAAATGGAACTGGGCAGGGCACGTCGCGAGAACGAAGGACGGCAGATGGACAAAACGCATTCTAGAGTGGAGACCCAGACAAGATGCCTTTAGGAATAGAGGACGACCACCAACAAGATGGACGGATGACCTGAAACGGACACAACAAAATTGGATGCAGGCGGCTCAGGACAGAAATTTGTGGGGTGAACTACGGGAGGCCTATGTTCAGCAGTGGACGAGTATGGGCTGAATGATGATGAAGTAAGCAAAAATTTTTTTTAAGATATCTACGTACCTGACGACTGGATTAAGGTAATAGCACAAGCACGAAAGAAAGCACATTTTACGGCAAAAAAGATGACAGAAAACGATTTTTATTCTACTAAGAAGCTGGAAAGAAATATAACAAATAGCAAACTTAATAGACAAAAATAAAAAGTCCAATGGTTACAAATTCAGTGGTTGCAATACAAGAAAACAAATCCATTTACAATTTACTACAAATACAGCAATAATGCGGATGTTCTCTTTTACTCACTAGATGTCAAAAAGAGGACATCCAGGGGATTATTTTTATCCCGATTGACGTCCAATAAAAAAAAGGAAAAAAAAGATCTTTTGGAATTACTTTCATTTATACCTCCAATACATAGTGGATTTTACACAAGCACCGGAACAATCAGATCCACTATACAGCAAGAAGAAGAGTTCATTAGCGATGAAGATTAGGTATTTTTGTTAATTTGTTTTTTAGTAAAGCATATTTTCAAAATTGATTGATTGTTTAATTGTATTGTACTCTAGGTCTAATCCACATTCCTATTAAAATTTTTAAGGGCACACTGATGCAAAAGCGGTCTAATCCACAAAAACAGCTTAAATTTTTATATTTTTGTTAAATATACTGCAAGATCTTCGAGTTTTTTGTTATTAGTTAACGATTTGTAAACAATGACTACCTTTTGGCATCATATTTTAATTTTATAAAATTTCACAAAAACGCATAATTATATTCTTGGTTCAGATAAATCCATAATTCAATATTTGGGGTTAGCCCACTCTTGCTATATGCAGCATATAAGCTGATAGAAGAAGATAGTGGTTGGTACGGTGGAAAATCACGACCCTGACTAATAAGGAAATCACTAGAAAAAGGAAGAGGGAGAAGCTTACCAAAAAGAAAAAAGCATCCTTTAAACTTCAAAATAACTAGAGAATATGAGAGAGTATCATGTGCAATAAATATTATCAAATACTTACGAAAAATTGTAGTTGGGTAATCCTATATTGCTCTCATGTTTTACGATTTTTGATTCCCTGTAGTTTGGAAATTTACCGTATTTTGGATCAGGCCGTTGTGGATACTGACAACTGACTGCTACAATGAGCACGCATAAAATCCAGAATGTCTGTAAAAATGTTGCATTATCCATTTACTAATAAATTAATACCTTATTAAATAATGAATTTAAATATAAGTATATAGGGTGGTCTGAACCTTTTAGTGTTAACGTATGGTGTCACAGACGGAGCGTACCTATTTATACCGATAATTACTTAACGATCTGTTCCGATATTCGGGCCAGATCACTCAATAGCTGCATATTTTACCTAACCCTTGTTAGTTAGTAAGTTTTAACAGATTTTTGAACTTAGATACATAATTCGTTCGTTACACAAAATTTCAGTCTCAGAGACAGATGTTAGCTTTTCTGGTTGTACTACAGGTAAGGATTGTAACTTTTAGCGTTGTATTTTTAGTAAATAAAATATTGTTTTTTTACTATTTAGGGATAGAAAGGAACTACGAGTTCATCTTCGTAATTCGAATTCGTAATAACGAATTGGAATGCAATGATCCTGCGGATAGTTCTGAAGAAGATGAAGTTGACATACAAAATCTTGATACATATAGTGAACAGGTTATCAAAAGTATATCAAAAGTAGAAAACGATGTTTTGCATGAGTCGCATGAGTTATTTGCTGATAAAGCATCTTGGTAATAAGCGAATTCCTACACGAGCAGAAAATTTAGTTACGCATTTACCAGGTGTAAAAGGGGGTGCTAGGGAAAAATTAATCTTTAGTGATATTTGGGGCTGTTTTATAGCAGAGTAGATGTTGAATGTTGAAACCTATTGTGATAATACAAACATAAATACTGAACTACATGCTGATCTCTGAATACAACCTACAGAAAGACGGATATACTAGAAATAAAAGCACTTATAGGCCTGTTATACTTAGCAGGAAAGTTCAAGAATAACCATCTGAATGCTCGCAACTTGTTTAGAAAAAATGGTACTTCCTTAGAAATATTTTGCCTTTACAATGTTATACGAGCGATTCAAATTTTTATTGTCATTTATTCGCTTTGATAATAAACAAACTCGTGCAAAGAGACAAACAACAGATAAATTAGCTCCTATCCGAAACTTTTTTGAAGACTTCAACACCAATCTGCCAAAACACTACAGCATGTCAAACTATTGTACAGTTGATGAAAAATTAGAAACCTTTAGAGGATGTTATGAGTTCAAGGTTTATATGCCAAAAAGACCAAATAGGTACGGTATAAAAATATATGCCTTGACTGATGCAAAATTAGCTTATACCTCAAATTTAGAAATTTATGTTGGTCAGCAATCAGAGGGACCTTACCAGCAAACCACAAAGACTTTGGATTTTGTAGTACATTAGTGCAGACCTCTCTGCGGTAAATAGAATTGTTACTCTTGATATTTTGTTACCACTAAGCATCTAACTGATACATTATTGGCCAATCATCAGCTAACTATACTTGGAACTTTTTGAAGAAGTAGGTCCGGACTGCCTTTGGAGTTTACGGCACTTGTCAATAGGCCTACTTCTACAAGTATGTTTGCATTTCAAGATGAATGCACTATTGTTTTGTACATTCCAAAACCGAAAATAGTTATGCTCCTGATGTCAGCTATGCATTATGAAGATGTTACGTTGTATACAGGAACCGTCGCGAAGGCTTCACGCCTGGAGTACGGGCGATCGCGCTATTGTATTTCGACGGGATATAGTACCGTATAAGTGTCGGGTACCAGGAGTTCGAAAGTTCGTGACAGAGCGCGGTACCTCCACAACTGAACCTGAATTCCAGTAGGACTAAAGGGCGTATTCATTAGCTAGGGCCTAAATACGCGAAGGTAACTAAATCTATATACTAACCCAAGTAATATATAATAGTACAGATTGTTAACCCTTTAATTTCTTGCTAAGGTCTCTTTTTGTCTCCCTTCGCGCCTGAACGGATCTTTATTGGTTATAACTGACAGCTTGTTAACTTAATTGTAGCATATAGTCTATATAATACATTTGTAGACTCGAAATTTGGTTTTAATGTTCCTTCCCGGCCGTTACAGGCAGAGACACAATTTCTGCTTATGCATTTCTCCGGCTTCTAAAGTAAGCCCACAGACTCAAATCTTTACACGACCTGAGACCTAGAAGTCCTTAACCCTTTTTCATGATTTTTCTACCCTCTCGCAAATCCACGGCGGCGAACCAGCCAGTTCAGACTAGTAGGACCAGTAAGCCTTGCCTCGGCTCGCAGGAAAAAGTATGTTACGGGGATGTACAGGGGTGTTACAAAGTGTAGTTTAGAAATGAGCAACAAATGAAAAATCTTCGGATGGTATTAGCCTTTTTGGAAATACCTAATCCGGGAAGATTATCGGAAAACGAAACTGTATTCTTTTCTTTGCAGCTTCAAATCCAGAAGTTTTTGCTGCACAACATAAATTTGATATTACAAGTTCTGTAGCTGGTACATCAATACCAATTTCCGAAGTCAGCTCTTTAGAACAGAAAGACACCAAATTATTTTTTGATGAAAGCAAAACAATAAATACTCAAGTCAAGCTAGAAAGGCTATAAGCAGAAAGCTGTTTAGAAAAAAAAAAGATATTTGATTATGATGAATACGACGCCGCATACCTTAAAACTGTCGAATGGTATTACTTATTAAGCATATGATCTAATTAATGTTATTAGTGGACTTTATCTTGCCAATGACTTTATTATTTTAGAACATTATTCCATGTGCATGAATTTAATCTGGAGCCATTTCCAGGTAAACATTTACTTTGTAAACAACAACTCACAACGACTCCGTGGCGCAACGGTAGCGCGTCTGACTCCAGATCAGAAGGTTGCGTGTTCAAATCACGTCGGGTCATACTTTTTTTATTTTTATAGTAACTTAAAAATTAAAATATTTATATAAATAGATGTTACCATAAAAAGGGTTCTATATATTTTAAATTAAAAATTGTATGTGCGAATATTAATCCGGATTTTTAAAATTATTATTTATTTATATATCTATTATTCCAATTAATGTAGAAATATTAATTGTTAATAAATAAATAGTAAAAATATGAATTCCTGAATAATTTTGGAGATACCATCAGTGTTTACCTACATCCACTGTTCAAAAATGTTTCAAAATTAGTTTTCAGTTTATGTATTGGGAAAAGTGGAACTATAATAAGTTATTAAAGATCTTAAGAATAACAAGAAGTGTAGGTGTAAAAGAAATTGTAAGCGAACTCATAAATAAAGAAGGTCTAAAAGTCTAAACCTTTAAGAAGCTTTGCGTAACTTCCTAATGAAAATATGAGAATAGGAAAGGATACAACACGCTTACAAATTAATCGGAGGCAATATTGCTCCCAATATTGAAAAAAAGATATGTCACCAACTGAAATAACTACAGATAAATTGCACTGCTTTTTTTTCGTATATACGATAGTGGTAATTATATTAAGAGCAGGATTTGTAAATAGTAAGAGACATTATCTAGAGACAGAAGAGACAGATCTACTGGATGCAAGATCTTTTCGCTAAATAGGCTTTTGAAATTGAATTAAATTGACTTGTGACATTTGAAATAAACAGACCAAATCGTTCCTGGTGAACGAAAATCAAAATTCCATGCGAAATCAATTAATATTTCTTCTTAATCTATAAAACTGTTTAAAATTTGACCTCTATTAGACAAGCCATTTAATTTAACCCAGCCTCTGAGACTATTCGCCCTTTAGAAAGACGTTCGGGTGTAACAATTCATTGAAGCGATGTGTGTTAACCCGTGTAAGACAGTAGACACTCCAGAACGCTAAAATGCTCCAGATCATCCCTTTCCTTCCAATAGCACTCTGATGCGCTAGTCCTGGATAATAGAACTCCAACATTGTTGCCTAACTAATTCAAAGTCAGGCTAGCGTTAAGCACTTTATTTCTGTCATCCTCCTCTATTAGAAAAGATTAAACAACGCCTTTTATCGGTTCCCTAGAGGACATCTAGCTTTTGACGATCAAATTATCATTTCGAAATATAGGCAAAATCTCAAATAATATAATCCACCAAAACTTCCCAAATGAAGATATAAAAATCAAGTACTTAGTGGTGTACCAGGTTTTAGTTACGACTTCGATATTTTTGCTGATAAACAAAACAATACTTTTACAAATGGAGCCTGATTTAGCAGTCAATGGAAATGTTGTCACTACAAAAAATGGATTGTTGCCTTTAGGTACGGTTTAACTTATACTTTAAAATACAACAAGAAAATAGCTTCAGGTCATTCAGAATGATGTCTGTTTTTTTTAGTTTGTTAATTTCCATAGTATAACAAATTAAATATCACCAACATACTTCTGAATGACAAATGTGAGACAGACAGTTCTCCCCTCTTCAACCTATTTCGTTAAAGTCTATAAACGCATACCAAAAATGGACATTATAAATAGCATACTACGACTGAGATACTTCTCAAACATATGAAAAGAGGCACATGTTATAATAATAGCTAAGCCAGGATAGCACGTTCCCACAACATTACAGACCCATAAGCCTACTCTTCTTGCTGAGCAAAATAGCAGAAAAGGTAATACTAAAAAGATTAAACGAAAAACTCAAACCCTAGGAATAATGCCAGAAGCTCAATTCGGTTCAGAAGCGAACACTTATGCGAGTTACAAGTGCTCAGATTAACTGAAAACATAACAACAGCCGCCTTCCTCGACGTCAGTGAAGCCTTCGACAAAGTATGGAACTAGGGACTGCTATATAAATGAGCGAACAACGGTACAGCGAGGTAATGACATGTCTCCTTGCGTCATACCTAGCCAACAGAAGGTTCAAAAGTTCGGGTAGGGGCAACTCTGTCCGAGGTTAGAATCCTGTAGGTGAGGGTGCCTCAGGGAGCTGTGTTGTCTCCGTACCTGTACACAATATACACCATACCAAAAGAACTAGGAACCCTGCTAAGCCTCTATGCAGACGACACGGTCATGGCAGTCAGCAAAAGAAACCCGAACACTGCAGCTAACTATCTGCAGAGAGCACTAGATAGATTCCAAAGCAAGTGTATAATGTGAAAATCGCCCTAAACCT